AAAAAAATATGCATGTGTATGTATGTACACATACCTTAAAAAAAATCCTATTGTCTCCCTAGTGTAAGAAACTGAAAGAGTAAATAAAATCGGAAGGGTACAATACATACTGTGGAAAGGGAATAAATTTGTTCAAAAGGAAGGAATTTCTGAGATGAGGATAAGGACAGGAGAGGGCTTGGAGAAAAGAGATATATCTATGTATGTATACAGGATGGCCTGGACAACTGGTGATTTTTGCTGGTATGGAAAGGAGTTAATACTTAATTTTATTTTCTTTTCTTTTGGTCTTTTTTGTTTTTTCCTTTCTTTTTAATTTCTTATACCTTTTTTCTTTTCCCAATTTTGTATGCATATATCTGGTAATCTGAACTAAGTTGAAGATGACACTATACAATACAACAAATACTGTTGAATTCATGGTTTGTTTAGTGAAATTCTGTAGCATTTCTAATTTTTATTACTATTTTATATTCTCTTTTAAAAAATATAAAAAAGCAAGCAAGCAAGAAGGAACGGTGGGCTAGGAATGTAGCTTAGTGCCTTCTGGGCACAACATCTAGTACCACAAGAAAGACAGGAAATGAGGACGAGGAGAAAGAGGAAGGGAGAGAGGGAAGGGAAGGGACAGAAAGAAAATAGTGAGTGAGCTTCTGTGTGTCTCATTCTTCTCTCTGTAAACTGAAAGCAGTAATCCAGAACCAGAGTTGAGAGGGTTAAATGAACCACTGTGCATAAAGTACTTAGACACACTGTCTAGTGTGTTGTTTCAACACTTAGTTCTCTGATTCATTTTCTCTCAAATATTTTCCTTTTCTTTTTCATTCGCACCTCTCCTCGCCCTGTATCTTGTAAAAAATGGTATCATACAAAATCCTGAAACTGGTACATTTAATAGTATGTCATGGACCTCTTTCTGTGTAGTTTGTTGTTCTAGGGATAAATAGTAGGAGAGATGACCTCTTTCTGAATGTCATTTGGACTATGTAAACAAATGATAAATTTGCAGACCCTTAGAACCTTATTTACTACAAGTAGATAAATCCTGTAAACTAAATAGTATTTATTTGAGATTTTTTAAGGAGCTTAGCAATGAGTAATTTTAATCTTGATCCAAATAGGGCACTGGAGCTGCAGATGTCCATTGTGTGACCTGATCTTCCCCAGGTGTACAATTGATATTCCCTAAAAAACTGGCCATAAAATTTTTATTTCTACTTTCAGAGTAGCTCTTCCAAAGACTTTTAGTTTTGCTACTATAGATGTCTGACCATCGCATGGGCACATACTTTTAACTTCCCATGCAACATAAATGGCTTCTTATTTCATTTGTCTTGTTGCATTGACCACAACTTCAGAAATAGTGAAGGTGAATGCTAATCCATTTCTCCTTTTTGACATTTGGCTTAGAAGAGGTGAATTATATCATCTTGTCTATATACCTGTTGTTCTGTTTTGTTCTAGTATTTTCATGAAGAATGAGTTACCAGACCCAGTACTATTATCGACTACTGGACTATTTTGGAATATTTTGCTGAGTTCACACACCTATAATATTTAAATGATGGAACTAAACAAAAAAAAGGGGATACAGATGAATGACCATTTTGCATTTGTGTATTCAAAATGATTAGGATAGATATATAGCTACATTCTCTTAATGAATAGAGTGATTTGTTCTAATAGTGTTTGTAAATAGGATATCATGTCTGCATCTTGTACAACAAATAACCACTAGGAAGGCAGTATGCAATGTGTTAAGTATTGAAACTGTCCTACCAATTTGATTTGAAACTGTCTCATTGCTATTTGTTTCTCAATAAAATTGTGGAAAAAAAGAATGAGTTACCAAAAGATTTTTTTCTAGGTATTTTAAATTTATTTTTATTTAATATTTTGATTATGTGCCATATTTATCTTGAGCTATCATCATTTCCATTCAGGACCAAGTCCTTATTAGTTTAGTTATTCTTTTATCTTTGATTTCATTTTTTTGTCCATCATTGAAATTGAAAAATTTCCAATCTGCAATTCACTCAGAGTTAACTGAGCCAGGTATAGTGATTCACACCTGTAATCCCAGCATGTGGGAGGCAGAAGCAGAAGATTATCATGAGTTTGAGGCCAGCCTGGAATACATACTGAGACCCTTTCTCACAAAAATGGCAATGAAAAGTTACCTGTGACGAGATTGTTTTGTATTTTATTTGGGTTTTGAAGTAAGTTACTTTAAAATTGTGTAATATTTATAGACTAAATAATAAATCTCAGTTGATAATTCTGTTCTTCACATTAATGTTGGATGTATTACAAAACTTTCTAGATATTTTTCTCTCCCTTTCATTAATTCTCTTTTTCTTAAACATTTTTCCTCTTTTTCTTTTCCTCTCTCTGCACCCCATATCTTGCCCCAAATGGGATCATACAAAATCTTGTTACATTTAATGTTATATTATGGACATCTTTCTGTGTGCATGCAAGTATATCTACTGAATTCTGTATACTTCACAACTGAAGAGTTTTTCCTA